AGACATGGCTGAGCTCTGTAGTCGTATGTCCGTTTCGACATCTTGGGGGACCAAACTCCAAAAAGAAAACTTAAGAGTGAAATGTTCAGTACCCTTCTAGTAACTGCTAGTCTCCTGGAGGGCAGCAGTTTCAAGTTTGTTCCTGTGAGGCTTCATCATGTCATCGGTTGCTGTGGCGCTTTTGTGTACGGCCTAAGTGGCCAGTTGCTTTCGCTGTGTTTTACCGCTGGTTAGCTTTCGAGGAGTCTGTTCAGTCCTTGCCGTTGCAAAACACTAAGAGACGACGATGAGATGGCATAGGCGGTCCTTTATTCACACTGGTTATTTGGACAACCTAACGAATTTGAGACGGAACAATTGAGATTGCTAGCTACGAAGTAACTACCTCCATTAACCGACAGTTCCGACGAACGTGCGTTGTATTACGAATTGAGATGGTGTTCTCCAAATGATGGTAGTGAGCAGCAATATATTCGAAATGTCTTATGTCCCTAGGATAATTGATTTTGGAAAGGTATTCACTATCAAAGAAATACTGGGCACATTCCCAAAACGGCCTTTGGATTAAATTTGCTGATGTAACTTTCGATGACGTGTACATCGCCTTGCAGAAATATATTGTATTACATACCATATTATCTCAGAAGTAATATTCACTAACATTGGATTATGACCAAGCATCAGGTTAACACGTTTATGTGGTACTTTCCAGTAATTATAGTTAAAACTTGATCCTTTTGATACCATTTGAGATTGTACTTATCATATTCTTTGTAAATTTTTGTTTTCCTTACCCGTTCACTGGGTTTCCTTGTTTTTTTCTGAATCGCATAGATATTGTTGTAGTCGATACATAGTTATGGCGACAGCCATGTTGCTTCTCTCTCCTTTTAATTGTATTGCGTGCATTGACTGGGATTGTTCATTTTTGGTCGTGAAGTGAGGCACTTTTCTAGAACAAAAAGCAATCTGCATGTGATCTATCCAGAAAGAATTGAACAACATTTATTTGTTGCACTTGTCCAGGAATTAATACGTACTTATATTCATGATAAAATCTAGAACAGTCATTTACGCAACTACCTTGTTTTGAATAAATCCCAATGATATTACAAATATATTACTTATTTGTAACAATCTACCCAATGCTCAATTTATTTGAAATTATCAAATCAAATCTTGATAATGATACCTACAAACTCATTAATAACCGGACCAAATTATCCAAGTGTCAGTGAAATTGATAACTTCTTTTGGTTTCCACTAGACTAATGTAGACAGTTATTCATCATTCCAAACTTTGTTTGGGATCTAAAATAGCTATCATACTCTTCGAACCTACGTACAGGCCTTACATATACGGAAGGTCTGGAAATGTATAACAAACACTGTGATGTCAACGAGATATCACTGAACCCTAATCCGACTATTCACCAATCTGAATGGGTTTTCTTAACACCATCAAAGACGTTGGAGGCTGATACAGATTGACTAATCGTTGACGTGGTATTGGAACAGGTGTGGATTAACTCTTGTTACTCTACTTGCTAAATTACTTCAGCAGTAAGACTCATTCAGTTATCGACTGCGTGAACTATGATAAAAAATTTCGTACACGAAATTTATGACCGTTGATGGTGAAAGCCAAGATCCTTCGGAGATTGACAAATTCAAGACCATTTATGACAATCAGGGTAAAAGTTACTACAAGTACACGGAGTAGCCGCTCAAAGTAGGACACCGTGAGGACCATACAAATGGCTGTGGAAATGAAAAGATATAAACTGAGGATGCTGGGAACTAGGGAAAACCCATTGCACTCGAGCTAGACAGGAAAGGTTACATTCAGAAAAGGTGTTGCCGTATTCTGCTTATAAGGAAAGGAATGTTCCGCACACAAGGAGTTGCACTGACACTCTCCAAAGAGTAGTATAGTGTTGTGGCGATTGTTGAGTTCGGATTAATATAATGAGTAGATCAATGTCAGACCTGGAAGCACTGGACGGCTGTGGGTTTGTGTTGATGGAAGTTCAGAAGATTTACGGACGGCATAAGAACACTGAAAGAATCAGGTCTCTACTTGGTGGTGGCCAAGATGAAAGTGAAGCTAAGAAACCACTGAACTGCTCAACAAGCAATACTAAAAACGTTTGGTACAACTTTAGTAGGAAATGTTAACAATCCCATTAAACCAAGGGTACCTTTCAGTACTAAGTTTTAAAACACAGAAAAGAAAACTGAAAATAAAGGCATTATGAGACAGCTGTAAAATACAATAAGGAAGCTGACAGAAAAATGTAATTTTTATTCAAGCTGGATGTGTAATGAACCGCTGACGCCAATCCGAAATTATTCATCCTAACTAATCAAATTCAAGTATGTTCGGTTCGACCAAGAAGTATTGCAGCGAACTATTTTGAAACACACTATGAGCTGATGGTTTCCAACCAAGAAACAAGACATCAATTTGAAACACCACACTTAGAAATTTTATCTTCTCCTCCAGATACTCAGTTTATTGGTTTCACGCTTACTTACCAGCCAACAAAAAATGGCATGCCAATCACACAGATTCAAGAGCAAGGAGACAAATGAGTTAAAAACTTTAAAGACCTGTTGAATAGACCAACCGCATCGAACCCACCTGATATGGAGGCAGCACACAATAACCGTCCTATGTAATTAACCTCACCGTTAATAGAAAAAATCTTCGAGGCCATCAAAAAAGTCAGGAATGACAAAGAAGAACAATCAATTAGAGTAACAGCTGAAGTACTGAAGTCAGATATTAAAGTAATTGCAAACATGTTCTACATTATCTCCGGGAAATGTTTGAGAAAAATAGGTATAAACAGGCTGAGAGGAGTAAGTCCTCATTTATATACCGGGGTGTATGAACTACTGAAGTGTCACACTACTATCAGTTTCCAGTAATGTTGTTGAACAGAATGCAAAGTTCAATAGACGCGCAACTTTGAAATCAACAGGCCGGTTTTCGTGAGAATTGATTATATACCTGTAGTGTCTGGTACCAATACACACTTACATGCTTCATCCTAGCTTTTGAACAAAATTTAATGACTCAAACGTCATATGATATTGAGTCATTTTTACCTTCATAATTACTCTATTCTTTTCATAAGAAATTGTGATCTTCAGCACACATACACGTTTTATTTCTATGTCCTTCTATTCTTACACTTATGCTCCTTGTATGCACTTTTGTGTGTTTGTCTATCACTCATCATTTTGTTCAGTGCTTGTATCTTTGACACACTATGGATTATATATTTTGAGCTAAATTAACTCCTGCAATGAGTAGCATAACGAGTTGGCATGTTTGGAGCTTTCCCTCAGCCTCCTCTTTTCGCGCCTTTCATTGTTTGATTAAAGTAACGAGTGTATGAAATACACGTGTCCAAAATTCATTGTCGTATTTGACTTAATTTATTCCGTTATTCTTTAACGTGAATCAAGTCAATAGTTGATTACAAGGGTAGGCAGTTTTTGTATTTCGTCATGACCATCATTCGATCAAACTTGAGTCAGATAAATAGGCTATTGAATACCGACCAAACCGCAACACTTCGAATCACTGTTGAGCAACAAGATGATGGAACATATCACTATGCATTCGCCGCCTTGACCACAAGAAAGCACTGAACAGCGTGGAAATGCTAACCACATAACATTTGTTTCAACACTACAGTTTAGTTGGGAAGATTGTTACCAATATTCAGAATTCATACGACGGACTACATCACACAGAATGTGGGCCACAGATGCATTCCGAGTGAAGACCGGTGTCAGACAAGGTTGCTCACTATCATCTTTTCTACTTCTGGTGTCTAACAAAGCACAGAGTACATTGGACAGCTTGGATGGAAGTAGACGATTTAAACTTTGCTCTTATATCTCATACAGACTAACAAATACAGATAAAAGCAGTTAATATGGTAGCAGCCTCTGAAACAGTAGGCCACAACATTATCACGGGATAAAGCAAGGTCTTGAAATATAACAACGAGTGTCAACCAATTAACATTTCATGAAGCTCAGAAAGTAGTGGAAATTTTACGTTACTGGACAGAGTCGTTGATTAACAGGGAAGGTCTGATGCAGATGTGAAAGTACAGTTTGCCAAGTCAAGAACAGTACTCTTGCAACTGAGGGTTATCTGAACTCAACACAACTCTCAGCCAACATCAAAGTTCGAGTTTTCTATGCAAACTTGGAGAGCGGTCTATTGTTTGGAGCTGGAACTTGGAAAACTACTACAATCGTCGTTATATTTTTGACTAATTTTTCGCATACTAAACTTTGATGTCATTCATAACTACAGGTTTATTTCAAATGTCGTTGGAGGCTTAGTCATTTGAAAATACCCTCATCAATGCATCCCTACCTGCAAATTATAAAATGTATTAACCAATTAACCTTTCCTATCCTACTCTAGCACCCGGGCTTTTCTCCTCTAGCACAGTCTAAATAGTAAGTAAATTCTTTCCGGGTAGAGTTTCGTTTATGTGAGAATCGAGCATAGTAATGAAACAAACAGAGTAATACCAAGCTACCAAATGTAGTAATCCCACTAGAATTAATCTGTCGTCGTTTGCTTTAGTTGATTTCTAACTAACCAGTACTTCTAAAAGATAAATGTCCAATAGTTCATAATGTCATATCGGTCATAACGAAATGCTTTCAAAAAATATTTATTTTGGTCATCAACTTTTTAAATGAAATAAGATTGAAAATAATGAAAATTAGTAGTTTACAGCCATGCAAATATTTGAACATTGAAATGTGACCCAGATATATGAAACAATGAGGAATTGATCAAATCTTTATTTAAAATGTTTAAAACAAGCTGTACTTCTTGAATATTAAGTTACATTTAAAGATAAACAAATCAATTTGCGGTAATTTGATTCAATATGGTACAGCTTTTAGTTAACATACAAGCTAACAGTGCTAATAGCCTGAAAATGCAATGAAAGAAATATAAACTAATATATGTGAAAAAAGTATCATGTAAATATTTTGTCTTACATAGTGATTATTTTCAGAATGACAAAAGTTTACCGTAATTTTGTTTTTCTAATAGAACTAAACAATTAAAGACTCCTAACATAATTCTGGTTAGATTAAAGAACTAAACGAAAATTAAGTTTAAATGGACGTGAAATTGGTTCAATTAACTCATTCATTTGTTTTTTATTCAAAACATTTAATTCAATAAAACATTGAGCGTTTTCTGAATCAATTGCATAAGAGAATGTATTGAATAATGATCCCATACATGAATATCTAGTACCAGTGGAACCATTTATTGATGCAGCTAATCCTGAATGAATTTGTATTGGTCTGTAGTCATTTTCATTAAAATATTGAAAATATTTTATTCTATTAGGCTCCAAATAGTTGATTGCAACACCTGGAACTTCTGGTTCTAAATAACATCTATGTAAAAAAAATTATGAAAATTTATAATCTAAGAATAAAAAAACAAAATAATTTTTTATAACGACAGCCTATGGGTGGACTTAAGGAATGCCTAAGAAGATCAGAAAGACCCGAAGACATTCCATCCAATCATCTTTTTGAAGAATATTCTATAATCTCGACGTGTAGCTTCCCTATTGGACAAATGCTAAAAACCCATGTATGCGGATTAGATAACTATAATGATAATTTCACTATTACTAAAAACTATAAATACCTGTGAGTTTTGTACAATATTTGATGGTGTTTAGAAGAGCATTCCTTCACATTCGTCTTTTGTCTTCTCATTTGTGACTTGGAGGGTAAAATTACAACAGAACTCTTACTTATCAATTGTACGTCCAATATATATATAGTGAAATAGTTTTACGTAGGGAAAATATCGTTCGTAATCCAAATTTTAGGCAAACATATCGTTTATCGTCATTGTTAAGATAACTCATATACCATGATGATTTAAATAAGTAATCTGTAATCCATGTATTAAACCCAATAAATTGGGAATAGTAGTTATATCAGAAGGGGTTTTGTGGAGATTTTAGTAATTTCATGAGTCAATTGAATCTAGACAACCATGGAAAACCTGTAAGCACTGTACGGCCGTTTCGTCCTAGTATGGAACTTCTTAGCAGTGCGCATCCACGATCCCGCCCCCCGTGAGATTCGAACCCAGGACTTGTCAGTCTTGCGCGTGAGCGCTTAACCATAATAACACTGAGCCGGCAGCTTCAATTGACTCACGAGTTCAGCTATTGAAATAGTAGTTATAGCCGAATAACGTGAAATTCATTTAATTCATAGATTGACTTCATTAGCTTACAACTTAAACACATAATTATTAGTGTTCTTTATTCAAAAGTATTAATCCACTAAACGAATGTTTTCTTTTCTTTCCTCATTTTGAATGTATCTTTTATTTCTTATAATTAATTATAATAGTCTAATATATCCTGCTGTTATCTTTAGTATGTATCTGGTTAGTTTTCATAATATTCAATATGGAATAAATCATATGGATATTTTTCGAAAGAACTGACTGTTGAATGCATTAATTTAAGCATTCCTTACATGCATTACTATACACTTTTATTTAGAATTATGTTTTCATCAATTTTTATTTATAGTTTAACTAGTTAACTAATTGTTCTGTGATTGCCAGTTAAATAAATAACTGACATTAGGAATAATGTATGTTAAAGTGATTTAACTTATTTATAAATACTAACATGAATATTGATTTCACTCAGATAATGATACTGTAGTGTGTTCTAGTGATGTTAATGGATATAAGTAGTATGTATCATCAATCAAAAGTGAAATGCCTGGTGGCAGAAGGTTAAGATGATCGAAGGAAAAAAAGAACGAGAACAAAGAATGATTGGTGTAGAAACGAAAGAACAATGAAGTCTGAGACAATTGATTGACATTTTGCAAGTGGATTATTTATTATATAGTTCTCAGATTTTACTAAGACATTCTGTAATTGAGTATGCGAATAGATTTATTTGTCTCCACCTATGTGTTGTCATTCACTACAATATAATTAAGGAAAACAATTTGATCAGGTTTATAAGACTCGGTTGTTTTAGGTCTTGGAATTTAGGACATGATCACAGTATTATGCAAATTGCTTGACAAGTACAATGATCCTAAAAATTTCATATTCGTAGTTTTCAATAGCTTGACATTATATTATCATATTTTTGAAATTTTACATTAATTTTATGGTGATATTACCTTAAACGTGTAATATTTGAAATACTGATCTAAAAAGATTATCTTTATATAAGAGCTCTTGAACAGAGTAGAATTTTAATATAAAATCAAAGAACATATGTTCATTATATCTTGTTTATTTCCTGCTTTGAATCTGTTGGGGTGATCCAGAAATTTTCTCGCAAAAGACAAGCAAGGATCAGGAAACACTAAGAAGTATTTCATCCAATCAGCGTTCACTTGAATTTTTAGCCAGAAACATCAAGGAAGTGAAACGTCACATGTAGAGTTCCTGATTGGCTGATTGTTATACTGCTACAACGTTTAGTAGCATTCCAAAATCTTCGAGCAACCCAAGGACATTTAAAATATTATAAATACCTTATATTTTCTGTATTAAAATGAAACTTTGGAGTAAAGTACTTTCGCATACTTTGCTCCTTCTCTCCCGTGTTCAGGTCGCTGTATAGTTCTAGCTTGGGGGTTACAAGAATAGCTTAGGAACCGAATATAGCATTCAAATTGCAAGAATAATCAGAATTACTTTAGATAAAAATCTAGATGCTTGTAAAAACACAGGTGGAGATTGTTTTTTCTTTTGCTTTTTTGAAGTTACTTCCTAATAAGATCAGAAAATTTATTGTAAATTGTGTCAATCAATCGTAGCAACAAAGAAATTAGCCGTGTACTACAACAATAAACTAGCCGATTTCTTAATATATTTCATTTAAACTGATAATTTGTCACGATGAAGTTACATGTAAGGTATCATATACTCCTGTGGTATTTATTGAATAATGTTTAGATCTTTAATGCAACAAATATCTTTTGAAAATCACAAGTCTTTTCAAATTGATATATTTTGATAAAGATCAAAAGATTGAAATAATTACGCTTGATCTGTTGATCTTAAACATGTAGAAATATTTAAAAATTTATTAGATAAACTAAAATTCACTTTATAAGCAAAGATGGATAGTGGCTAGCAGTGGGATCCAGGACGCGAGTTTCGTCCTGTTTGGGAATTGTCAGTTGGATGTACCTGTATCTCAGAGTCGATATTCACTCTGGGACTTGAAACCAGTATCATAAAATTCGCTTTATTATGCTCAATAAAAATTGTTTTTGATCAATTTCAAAGGTTAACTTACAAAAAATCACAATTTGTATCTCCATAAGTAAATAAAACACGCATAGTTTGTTTTGGTTCAATCCAAATTAAGTAACCAGTTTCAGAGCATAAATGTGGTATATCTGTATACAATCCTCTAAATACCATGATAAAATAATAATAAAAAAAGAGATACAAAAGATACATATATTTAAAAGTTTCTTAATAGTAAACAGTCTTATTTATAGAAAGATAGACAGAATAGAAGTTTTATGAATATGGGTAGAAATATGTTCAAATGATCATATCTTCAGTGATTATCTGTCAATAGATATATGAGTTCATATGGTGTATAAGAATGGATATAAATAATACTTAGATTGCCTAATACATTTTCTCGGACTAGATAGCTGTTATCAAAAAATAAACCTGAACTTTTAATACAAAATTTTTTTGAAAATAAAAAAGAAATACGAAGACATAAATGTAACTTGATTGATGTGAAATGTTGGAGATCTCAACGGTACAGTTATGTTAATTGATTATTTAGTAAAGAATTGCTTAAGAGATATTTTGTATGAGTATGTCTTTCAACGAAACTACTGTATTGATATTCACAATCCATAAGGTATTACATATTTAGAAATAATCTAAGTAACTATATATGCAAAAATGGATAGTGGCTAGCAGTGGAATCCAGCACGGGCGCTTCATCCTATTTAGGATTATCAGGATTCAGTAGCTAAGTGGATAACGCGATGGTGTTTGGAGCGAACGGTACTAAGTTCTAGTCCCAGAGTGAACATCAATTCTGAGGTGTAAGTACATGCAGTTGACGAGTACCAAATAGGAAGAAACGCAAGTCCTGGATTCCATTACTAGTTGCTATCCATATTTGCTTATAATGCTTTAACTTTAAAGTTATATCGAGGCAATACGCACAGTATGCACATATGCGAATAACAGACCGATCAATTGCAGTGTTAAACACCAATGGGAAGATTCAAACAAACAATGCTAAGTGTAAGTAACCATATATTTGAATAATAATGGAATACATTGAAAACGTCAGTTATATCAAATCAAGCACTATCGTTTTGTCTCAACACGTTTATATATGTTCATTTATCCAGTATTTCTTTATTAACTGTTATAATAATTAACTTAATCATGACAGAATTTCACTGTTGTTAGATTAAACAACATGACTGATGAGTTTATTTGTAGCTTTTATTAACTAATAATTAGCCTTCTTAATAGTTGATTGCATGAGTCGATCCAGGCTAAAACACAATTGAAAACCTGGAACCACTGGATGGCCGTTTCATCTTAGTATGGGACTCTTCAGCAGTGCTCACCCACGATCCCTTATGTAGGATTACTACAATTACTACTGTATTGGGCGAGAACACAAATGGGAACAATCGAATGTATTTGAATGCAAAATTACAGAATATCTTAGTAAGATTTGAGAACCATATGGTAAATACTTCATTTGCAAAATATTAGTCGGTTGTTCTTTCGATATCATCAGCACAAACTTATACCTGAAATAATAATGTTGTTCAAAAGAACGATGAAAGCTCCACGACCAAACCATCCAGCTCAGAGAACAAAACTCCATCAAAATCATCCACCTGAGCTACAAGTCTTCACCGTCTAAATGTCGTATAATTGTTTATTTCCATTAATTCATAACACTAAAAAAACTATTTTATCATACTGTGCCTATATGTATTGTTATATAAATAAGTTAGTTGATAGTGGGTTTAATTTTCTTTTATCAATTCGAGATTCTTAAAAATCATAGTTTTGATATTGACTTGATAAAATACTAAAAAGGCTTTAGAAAAATGCTTATTCTATTCATATTACTTACTAATAGTAAAGTAGGTAGAATAAATAAGCAAAACTTCTCTGCATTTCATAATCAACTTAAGGGATTATCTATTTCATAACCGAGCAACATGATTCATTTTTATTAAAATATCTTCTGAGCAGAAGAAGGAATCAATAGTTTTGATGCACTTTCTCAGTATAAAATGAATATTTAATTGTATAATAAAGCAACTCTATATCTTGATGTTGTTGCTTCATTCAATAATGCACAAAAAGTTGACTCGAGTAACTAATGATTGGTGATTATACATGATATTGTATAAAATGGATTTAAATGAATAATTAGACCAATTTGGCGTTTTTCCAGACACAGTTTACACCAGTAAAAGTTTTTTATAGCCCATTAGTTAAATAAAAAAGACAGACAATGAATTAGATGGTAGATGGTTTCGATATGGCTGACGTAAACAAATTAAATTCACAATCTAAATGATGTAATTTGTTTCTTCGTGCTGCATCAAAAGATTTCGGTGTGGTTTTACAAAATGGTTGGAGTCATATTTTTAAATCGATAACTAACAGCTTAGTGAATACCACTGGTCACGAAGTCTCACCAGAACTCCAGGAAATCCATTTTGAAGCAAGTAATTGGTGAGCACATGATGATTTTTATCAAAAAGGGAGTTTTGTGGAGATTTTAATAATTAAGTAGTTGAATTCATGAGTCAATTAAAGCTAGACCACTAAATAATACCTAAAAGCATTGGACGGTCGTATTGTTCTAATACGAGACTCCTCAGCAGTGCGCATTTACAATCCCGCTCATGAAATTCGTACCCATAACATATAATAGAACGAAATGGCCATTCAGTACTTCCGGGTTTTCCATAGTGATCTAGCTTTAATCGCCTCATAAATTCAGCTGTTCAATCTTATTTTAATTAAATATTTCAATAATTGAAATCATGGGTCAACTGAAGCTAGACCACCATGAAAAACCTGGAAGCAGTGGACGGCCGTTTCTTTCTACTGTGGGATTCCTCAGTTATTAGGTCTTGGGTTCGAATCTCGCGAGACGGGATCGTGGATGCGCACTAGGATGAAACGGCCGTCCAGTTCTTCCAGGTTTTCCATGGTGATCTAGCTTCAATTGACTCATGATTTCAATTATTGAAATTTCTTAAATCTGATTTAATTAAATAGTAAATATAAAATAAATAACAAACATTTTTGCTAAATAACCCTAAAAAAAGAATATTCCTTGTTTTAATGAACAAGTTTAATACGTTTCAAATAAATTATTTACTAAAAGTGTTTAAAAATGAAATCTTCAATCAAATTATAGACAATTTGTTATATATACATATTTCACTGGTTGAAATCATGAATCCATTGAAGCTAGGCCACCATGGAAAACCTGGAAGCACTGGACGGCTGTTTCGTCCTAGTATGGGACCCCTCATCAGTGCGCAGCCACGGTCCCGCTCCTCTCGAGATTCGAACCTAGGACCTATCGGTCTCGTGCCGGGCGCTTAACCAACTAGACCACTGAGCTCGCATCCAACGGTGTTAATGTCTAACTTCAACCAATCGACGAAGTTGCGCCACCGTACACCATTGTCTTTAGTGAGCTGATATCTCACAACAGACCTGGTTGAACTCCACTGGTAACGGCTTCTCACTAGAACTTCAGGAGTATCTCTTGAATTAAGTCACTAGTGAGCAGATGATTATTATTATCAGAAGGGATTGTGTGGAGATTTTAGAAATTTCACTGGTCGAAATCATATGTTTTATGCATTTTAGTAAATTATGCTCATTGTTAATTGAATAAATGTTAACTGTCGAATATTTGAAATTGTTTTTTAAAATAATAAATGTCATTCATTGTTCAATTTTCAAATAAATTCAATTGATCCAATTAAATAAACATTGATATTCATTTTTTTTTTAAATTTTAACACATACAACTATCATATCATTACAAATATGCAATAATGTTCATTCATTATAAAATACATTCAAGTCCTTTGTATTATATCTATGTATGAAATATTATGAAAATGGATTATAATTCTTACTACTGAAGATAAATAGTTTGTCGGCTTGTAAATTTCAAAGAAACGCATTTGATTTTTTTAAAAATCATTCTTAACATGTATTCATGTATACATTCTTTATGTTTATATACATCCAATTGAAGTGTTTTTTTGCTAATTTCTTCCTCAACTGGAACCTGGTTTGTTTTCTCCCAGAGTAAGCTGTTGCTGATGTTATGTGACCAACGAACATTTAATATCTTGTGTAGACAATTGTTTATGAATACTTGTAGCTTTTCAATGATGGTTGTGGTAATTCTCCACGCTTTAGCTACATACAGTAGAATTGTCTTGATGTTTGTATTGAAGATTCTGACTTTGATGTTGGCATGCAGACAGTTGCATTGAGTTCCATATGTTGTTCAATTGTAGAAATGCGGCTCTTGTTTTGCAAATCCTTGCCTTCACATCTGCATCAGATCCTCCTTGTTCATCGATGATGCTGACTAGGTAAGTGAAAGTTTCCACCTGTTTCAGAGTTTCTCCATCAATTGTGATTGTGTTGGTGTTCTCTGTATTGTATTTGCTTTTTCCTTTCTGTATGTTGGCGCCTATTGTTGAAGAGGCTGCTGCTACACTAATTGTCTTCGTCTACATTCGTTCGTGTGTATGGGACGGGAGGGCTAGGTCATCTGCGAAGTCAAAATCGTCTATTTGATTCTGAACTGTCCATTTTATACCTTGCTTTCATTCAGATGTCAAGGTCTTCATAATACAGTCAACAAGCAGAAGAAAGATTAAGGAGGAGGTGATGGAATAATTTAATCAATTATTATTTATTGATGTAATCTGGTATAACACTGAGGAAATAATTCAAAATTCAGATTCCTTAGATACCTTATCATTTTTTAAACTGACTTCTTGTTTATTCACTCTTTGATAACGCTGTGCTTCCATGATAAAACGCTTATAAACTACCGTACATGCATGACACACACTAAATAACCTTTATGATGTTTAAGGTTGTTTATGTATATATTAGTTGAAAGAATAGCAAACGGAAATTATGAATATCAGGTTCATTGTTCTTTGAGCCTATTCAATCATCTGTTTATCAAAATAGTATCTCCCGTCTTTCACATCAGTAATAATATGGTTTACCTAAGTATTAATTATCAAACTGTAAAAGGACTCATTAATTATCGCTTTGCGCTTATTAGAGAATTGAATTGTCCTAATCAAGCTAGCCTTGATATTTATTCTCAAAACTGGTAAACCA